TAGGGCAGTGACGACCTAAAACCCAGCCTGGGAGAGTTCCTAGTGTAGACAGCCATGCCCAGAATCTCTTAGCCACCAAGGCCACTGTCTGATGAATTCTGGGAATTGTAGTAGTAGTTGTTTAAAATTAATTTTCCCAAGCTGTGCTTCTAGGGGAGATGAGAACACCCAGATCACATATGTTGATAGGGTTCAAGGCTATCAAGTCCAATCTGACTTTTCAGTAATCCTCGGCCCATTCCCAGAAATGCGCAGAGAACATCCAATAGGTAGGCATGAATATGAAGTTGAGGCGTAGGGGGCCAGAGATCGGTCCCAAGGCCTTTAAACTAGCAATATAACTATCTTGTTCTGTTGCACCACAGTGGGAAATTGAGAAAAATGTCCTCCTTCTGAATGAGAGGATAAGAGACGTTGTCTCCCTCTTGAGGCAAGTTTTTGCATGTGGGCGAATGACTTTTTGCACAAATAAGGTGAAACTGTGTGGCAGCGGCTATTTCGTGTCACTGACTCTTGAGCCCTGGATAGGTTTCTCACATCTTTCCAAACAATCACCTAGACCTTTTCTGCTTGCTTTGTGTGTACTAGGGAAACCAGGGGAGAGATCCTATTTTCCACACAGGGCAAGGACCTCCTTGATTCCCCCTCAGTCGGGTGGTGCTTGGAAATGCCTCACCCGAGGTATTACATTATGTTGAGACAGCCTGCGTTGAGGAGAATGAGGACTTTAGTCCATGGGCTTCCCGTGCAGTCTTTAAATGCACGCTTGATGGGCAGAGGTACAAAGGTAAAGCTTTTGTTGTTGCCGAATCCTGACATTTCCTGCCGGGGGCCTTTCAGATCACCGCTTTCACCGGCTGCGTGGTTTCACGGAGCTGCACAGAACAGCTTAATTGAGACGTAGCCTTGCCTCTGTGCCTGAGCCCGGCATTTGTAGGGAGAACAGAGCAGACGTGGCAGAGGAAGCAAAATTAAAACCACAAGACGCAGAACGCCACCAGGCAAAGATGCACGTAGAAGGCAGCAGGGCGGGAAAGAGACCCCCCCCCCAGCAAGTTTTCTGTCCTGAAGCGTAAGATTTCATTGCCTTTTAATGCCCACACTTTTGTAGCTGCAAATGTGATTTGTGGGCAGAAATTCACCCAAGGCCTGTTTCTGAAATGGGGTGCCGCATTTACACCTGTGACCTCCTCCTCCTCCTCGGTAGCAGCAAAATCCTTAACACACCGTCCCCAATCCAGCGGCCTCAACAAAGTGCTCGTTTCATTGATGGCTCAGTTCAACGTGTAAAGCTCCACTCGAATATCGACCGGCCGAGAGAGAAGTTTGCCCGAACTTCCTCTGGAATGAACCGGGTGAAATTCTGTCTGATTTGCAGGACGAAGATTCCGCAGGCTTTCAGTGGTTCCTAGAAATGGGGAGACACACACACACACACACATCCCCATTTTCCCAGGCTCCTGATTTCAGCGGATGTTCCTGTGAGGCTACACCGCAGCTTCTCTTGCAGACTTCGCCTTCCAAAGCCCCAGAGGGAAACTGTCGCATCTGCACCTGCCCACTGATGGGTGGCACGGAGGAGTGAGAATACTCATAATTTGATCGACAAGCCAGACTCGGACGGTCTGCTGACTCGCTCTTCCGCCCTGCCTGACGGGGCGCTGGGGAAAATTCACACCGCTCCATAATTAGATGCTGACATCTCCCAGGTCACTCAAGGATGGTTTACACCTCCCGTGTTGGCTGCCGGCTAAATTTAGCTGTCTCGGCATTAGGTAAAAGTTTCCTTTCTCCAGACGGCACCTTTAATTGGTGGCCGTGCATGACTTCTGGGCCCCTGCGGTCCGGAGCCCTTGCAGGGATGGTGTATGGGAGGGGCAAAGGTTCCCGCTGTGTTACCTGGGGTGGAAGCGCCACAGGGCAGTCCGTCAGACGGGGGAGGAAGGCCAGAAGAGCCCAGACAGAAGGGCTGGTTTAATAAGAACCGCCACATCTGTCTCGGCTGACAGACACCCTGTCCGTCTCTTAGCTACGGCGGTGTCGGCGGCACAGCTAAACAGACGTGTCGCTTGGCTTGTTAGCATTTGTCTGAGAGGCATGGCAGGCCTGGAAGGTGGAGGAAGTCCAGGGCTGTTGGCCCTTCCTTTTAAAAACTGACTCTGGAGAAAGGAGCAGCAAGGTTGGTACTCAAACCAGATGTTTTGGCTTTCCAGATGTTTTTGGACCGCTGCTCCAACGTCCCCCCCTCTCTCTCTCTCTCTGGGACTCCACCTGGTTGAAGTAAGGGCAGGGCTCGACTCCCCCTCAGGAGGGACGTTTTGGTGGGAAGAGCCACCAATAACCAGGACGTGGGCAGGGACTCCCTTGAGCGGGTCGTCTTCAAAGGGATGCTGGAGCAAAGCCCTGTGTGTGTGTGTGTGTGTGGAGGGGGCACTTTTTTGACCAGCATGACGCCCAGAGAGGGTCAGACTACCCACCAGAACCCATGTGAGACGAGGTGCCTTGGTTGCGAGGTGGATGAGTTATGCTGCCCAAGTCTCTCTATTTCTCCTCAGGGGGAAATGCATAAAACATCATCCTCCCAACCCAGACAGGAATATGAATCTTCCTGAGGTGCAGCTGTTGCTTTTTCCACCCTGGCACAGTTGCTCCACTCCGTTATTTAAACCCCCGGCCCGCTTTCTTTGCATGGGCATCTATATATATTTTTTTCCTCCACTTCATCATAAGTCCCTCATTCTCCATTTATCTCTCTCCCACATCACTCCCACACATTCTCCCCGGGACCATTTCTCTTCCCTTCCCGTCCTGTCCATCTTTCTTGCGCCATGACACAGACGTACGGCCGCGCCATTTGGGATTTGCCTCCCATTTTATGCAGGGGGAGGAGAAAGTGAAATATATTTTCGAGAGATATGACGTGATAAAGCACAGCGTTCGGGGCCGCGAGCTCTCAGAATCTCTTATGAGGGGAAGAGCGATCCATTGGAACGTTACCTGGGCTCCGAAATATATCAGGAAACAGACTCATCAGACTGTGGAGCTGGAAAAGGGTACCCAGGGGTCATCCAGACGATCCCCAGCTAACGTTGGAAATCTGCAGATACAGCATCCTCAGTAGTGACCCTCTGTGTTGAGAAACCTCTTCACAAAGCAAAGTCCAGCCCTTTCCTGGCGGAACGTGGGGCCAAGTGTGTAAGGGACCCACAGCTCACTTGGATTTAATTGAGCCATGAAGGGTCCTTAGCTTTACAGAAGACCCGCTGCTGGCAGGGATGAAACATGCTTGGCACACCTCCTTGACCAGGGCTGTTCCCAATGATCCCCTCGGGTTCCCTTCCAGCTTGGCAGCTCAATTTTATTATTATATTGTTTTATTAAATCAACTGCATTTTTGGATTCTCCTTTGGGGATGCAACTTTGGAGAGCATACAGAAGCTGCAGTCCCTCTACCTTTAAGGCCTCCGACACCATCCTTGGCAAAGTGTCTATTCCTAAAATTGCACTTGGGCATTCTCCTGCTCCCGTCTTGTTGAGTGCCAAAGAACGAAAAACCTGCATCAAGTCCACATCGGCACAGGTCCACGAGACAACACCTGCATGTTGTCTGAGCTGCTGAAGTATTTTTAAACATGACGGCTGTAATAAACTGGAAATGTCTATAGTCTCTGTGTGTGTGTGTGGTTTTTTGTGTGTGTGTGCATATGTGGGAATGCTGATTGGCCAGGTGGTGCCGTTGTGCCTCAACCGGTCCTGCCGGAGAGCCGGCGTTGGGAATGAAGTTCACAGACTGTCGCTTGGCATAAATCAACCGAGCCCTCTTAATCCCAGCATAACGGCTGCAGCGTTGACCAGCTGTGGCTCCCAACCTGCCGAGCCAGCCGGGTCCCCCTTGGGAAGGGCGCTTTCTCCCGTGAAGCCGGCCAGTCGGAGCTCCTTCTGGGCGCTCTGGGAAATGAGCGGCACGTTACTCTGGGAAAGGACAGACTTCCCTTCACTGGCCACCTCCTCTTCAGCCGTTCATCAGCTGGGAGGCAGAATCCCACAGGGCATCAGGCGCCAGTGGAGGGTGTCCAGGCGGAGAGCACCGTCGCGTTCTGAAGGGAGCAGCCCACAAGAAAGGGACCCTTCGTCGCATGAGCAGAGCACTGGGCTTGATCACACCCTGGATCCGCCCGGGGGGGGGATGTTTAGTGCGTCTAGGCCCCAGGAAGAAGGCCTGTCTCCCAGGAGGGGCAGAATCTCTGCTCACGGGGCACCCCTAAACCCCCTGCCTGTTCCTTAAGTCCAGTCTTTGGAGCACACCTAACCCAGTAGGTTCTGCTTCCCAAGATGGACCATGTGCACACCTGGCAGGATTACACATCCTGTCGTCCCACCCAGGCCGTCCATTGAGTTCCACTCAAAGTGATTCTCTAAAATCAGAGTGCGAGGAATGGAGAGATTTTTAAAATCCGCCCTCCTTCCCTTTTATTCATCACCTCCTTCCTTCCTTCCTTCCTTCCTTCCTTCCTTCCTTCCTTCCTTCCTTCCTTGAGCCTCTCTGATGAACATAGCTGGGGGGGGAGTGCTGGTCTCTGTCTTTTCTCCCTTCATTCCCCCCCCCAAAAAAACCCCCACAAAACAACCCATTATGAAGTTTTTCTGGTGAGAAAGAACGTCCAACCTTGATTTCTGCTTGTCTGCGTGATCCGTGTGTCTCAGCTCATAAAAGAGGCAGGTGCGGTGGAGTAACCCGCCAGGAAAATAACAAATCAGCCACAAAACACAGGGCTGTTTTGCCCAAAGTGCGATTCTCCCACCTCTGTGAGCTGCAGCCCCCCTTTTTCATGCGTCTTCTTTCATACCATGTTGAGTATCTGGTGGCATCGGCCAGCGAGGGGAGCGAGGCGTCTCTGCTTGTGAAGGTGGGGTCGGCGGGACCTTTTTCTGGACGTGAGGCTCACGTCCGCTCAAATGAATCAGACTGTCATTGTCCTCTTCTTCTTTCCCCCCACCAGCGCCTCCCATGTCCATCTCGGTCATCGCGGCCGACACGCCAGCGCCCTTCAGCCGCTACCAGGCCCAGAACTTCACCTTGGTCTGCATCGTCTCTGGTGGGAAGCCTGCCCCCATGGTACGTTTTTTTGGGGGGAAGTGGGGGGGGGAAGGCACGGGAGGTTCTCCCCCTGGGACTCTTGCAGGTCTTGCCTCCGTATGGGTCACCAACACGAAGGAGGCCAGGCTCAGCCCAAGGAATGGGAAAGTGCTCTAAGTGTGTGTGCATGTCTTTCTCTGTGTATGTGTGTGTGTGAGTTCCCTATACACACACGTTTATTCCTCACCATCCTCTGGGTTGTGCTGTCTGCCCCTTGTGGTCCTATTCCTGGTAAAAATGAGAGGGTGG